TACAAAATATACAAAATAGGGGGAATATTTATTCAAAACAGTCAAAATATTACAAAAAATATCCCCAAAATTTCCAATATTTACCCTCAAAATGATCAAAAATCGTGTAACTTTGCAGAAATCGGTGGATATGGCTTACTCCCCCACCCCTAGGTAAGACATTTTGATCACGTGTACGACAATCATTTGCCTTTTTAGGTATCAACAAAGCACAAACGAAAAAAAGAATTAATTTTATTAATAAATCATACATTTTAAAAGCAACATTGGAGTAAGGGAATGTTTTGCACAATTTGTAAAGCACATAGGAAAAAAATCTATTTGCAGGAAAAGGTGACAAATCAATTTAATTAATTTTGCATTTTGCAATTCTTAAATTACTAATAGTATAATGTTATTATTTGGGATCAAAGAATGCTTCAAAATCTACTGCTCTAGCAACTCATGCACTTTCAAACCAACATAATGGTTCTTTGCTTCTAGAAAAGGCGAGAACAACCATGCAAGATTCTTCCAAAAAAAGCCACTAATAATGGTAACCTGAGCTTATGAGCTCACTCATAGCTTTTGACCAAGCAGAAAATTATTAATGTCTATTATTTAGTATTAATTAGTAACTACTTAATTAATTAATTAACTAATTAATTAACATTTCAGAGCCCTGCTCATAAGAGTAGAGGCAGAAAATTGTTAATTAATTCATTTCTGTAACAAACATTTTTACAAATTGAATAATAAACAAATTAATTCTTTTGTTTAATAAAAACACTTTTTAGTTGGAAATTAAACAGTAGGGTTTGATTGCTGATTTGGTTATCAGAGTGGTATAGAACTAAAGTTTCCATTCATAATATTTGTTTGAATTATTTATTTTATTCAAATAAACTTTCAATGTAATTTGAATGCTCATAATGAATAAAACAAATAATTCAAATAAACTTTGAATAGAAACTCTATATAGAACTCTGAGATTTTGTAACTCAGTTTCGGTTATTTGCTGTAAAGGTTTAATTTTTGGTTTTTGTTAGATGTAAATGTTTTTGTTTTTGTAAAAGAATTCAAGTATTTTTATGTAAATGCAAGGTGTTAGGATTGTTTGACCAGATATAAAGTGGACATTTATTACCAAAGTTATTATCACATATCATTTTGTTGTATTGTGTATTTTGCAAATGGATGGCTGAATTTAACCAGCCAAAGAAAAGTAAAAGAAGGAACTTCACTAAAGAATTCCTTGCCTTATAATAGGGCTATGTTTTATTTGTTGTTAATTCTACCATAAAAGTGTGCTTATAGCTTTCTAGGTACAAGAAAGAGACAGCAATAAAACAACTTAATTGATGAGCAATTAATCAATGAGTGTAGCTCAAAAGTTAATTCAAACTCACCCATACATATTTTGGAAATTTTTTTCAAATCTCTTTTAGGATTACATATATTAATAGTAGAGATAAAATAGTATGTTATCTATTTACATACACATTAAAAAATTTTTTTAAATATTCTGTACCACCACCGATTAATTAATCAATTGGAATAATCAGTGTGAATGTCAAAGGGATAAAAGAAAGAAAAAATTTAAAAAAAAACAATAATAGATTATTGGTTTAATGTTTTAGTAATTATTGATTTTATTTTATTTATTAAATAATTAATTTAATTAGAATTTACAAATTATTATTATTATTATTATTATTATTATTATTATTAATGATTATTTGTAGACGGAGGTATTTGTGGTGTTATTCTTTAGAATGTTGATGAATTATTATTGTTGTTGTTGTTGTTGTTGTTGTTGTTGTTGTTGTTGTTGTTGTTGTCGTTGTTGTTGTTGTCATTATCGCCATCACCATTGATACCATTATCACTACTATAATTGTTATTGTCTTTAGGTATAAACGATCAGAATGTTTTGATATGATCGTTTGTGATGGTGGTGATGACGATGATGCCATTGTTTGTATTATTATTTCTACATCTTGATGATTATTTTCATTTTGATTTTGTCAATTTTGTAATGATGATGATGGTGATGCTTCTTGTTCTATTACCACTAACACTAATTGTAATTCTTCATTTTTCTCGTTCTCCCCTTCGTTCCCTTCCTCTTCCTCGTTGTCTTCCTCAATTTTTGGCATATAAGGTGGAGGCAACCCAGCACCTTCCAACGTCTTATTATAAGCAGGTGGAGGTGGCCTTATCATATCATTATGGTCATCGTCATCATTATTACTATTATTATTATTTGTGTTATTAATCGACCCAAATATTCTTATTCTTTCAACTAAGCCATTTAATCTATAATTAGCAAATGTTTGATATATTATTGTGTTGTTGTTATTGGATAATGTTGATGAAGAATTGTTTTGACCGTGTTGTGAATAAATTGACCCACCAAGATTATTTCTTTTTTGTATTGGGATTCCATAACAATTTAATCTTACAATTAACTGTAAGAACAAAGGAAAAACAAAAGAAGTCAAGAAAGGATATTAATTTATAATTAATCAATAGATTTAAAAGCCAAAGAAAAAGAGAGATAATAACTCACCCAATATATTACATATGAGAGTATAACATATGCAATTATTATTAATATTTCTGTTAAATTTGGTTGTTTATTAATCCCGTAACAAATTGGTAAAATCACTCCTAAACAACCTATTAATAGTAGATAACCTTTTGTAACATACTTATGAAACTTTGGATATTTTGAATTCATTTTTTTCTCTCACATTAAATATTATTATCATGAATATTTATTTTCGTATATAAATTTTAAAGTTTTGATGTATTAAAATTACACCTTTGGCCAATAATGATTATTAATAATAATATTAAATAAAAGATGACGCTTATAAATAAAAAAGATGACGCTTATAAATAAAAAAAATCAGAATGTGATTAAGCCAAAAAAAAAAGGAAATAAATGTTCTATGAAGAAAACAATTAAACTAAATAATTTTTAGTTAGAAAAAAATTATTCACTAATAATCAATTTCTAAACAAGGTTAAGCAACCAAATAACGCTTACAAATTTGACAAAATATATCCCTGCTACTGGTGTGAGCTTATAGATTTCTTCCGTATGTGAGCAATATCTACAAAATAGTTTAGCATGATAATCTTTGAATGTTTTTAATCGTACATCTTGTTTCAAATAGTCTATGGGCTAAATGCAAGTGAATGGTGAGTCGTGCATAAATAGTAAAAGTGAACCATAACTATTACCTATTGAAGTCTAGAGGATTAATTTAGTAATTAATTACCATTATTATTGTTATATTTAAAAATATACGGTCAGAACTTGTTAAGACGAAGCCAATGTCTTTGCAAAAAAATATCTTCAGTTTACTTGCTTATAGGGATAAATTTAATAGGTAAATGATTAAAAAAATATCGGTTTATTGTGTATATTCGTTTTATCAAAGCATCGTCTTAACAAGTTCTGACTATAATAGTTAATTTGTAATGAACATAAGGTTTTTGAATAATATAATTAGAATTGTTCATTCATTTATTCATTATTTAAAAAGAAATTTTGTTAAATCATCAGTTATTTAAAACATAAATTGGGTTGGGTGCATGAATATATATCATTAAATTTATATAATTAATAAATTTTTTTTAATTATACCAAAATATTTTAGATGATATTACTGCTATTAATTATTTATACTAATTATTTTTTGTCAATTTAATTGAAAACAACATCAAAATCCTACGCTATTAACATTACTGTCAATATAAACTATCAAAGAGTATGTATCCACATTGCATTTTTTTTTCCAAAAAGCCAGATCTATGACCAAACGATCTGGTTGATGAGAAAGGATTATTACGCAACCGTCAAATTAGTTGTTATTAATTATTATTATTATTCATTTATAAAAATAGGAATTATTTGTATTAGATACATTGGTAAAAAAATCAAGCTGAAATCACTTGGATAAATTTTCGTTCATTTCTGTTAAATTTGGTCAAGTTGATTTAATAATATTCTCATCTTTCATTACTAATTCGCTCGCGACCATGTTATTCTCAATGTTTAAGTACTCACCTGCTAAAAATGAACCATCAAATGGTAGAGGTTGGAATCGTTCAAAAAATCCTTAGTCGACTACTAGTTGATCAAAAATTTCGACTATTAGTTGATTATTTTAGTTGACTAAATTTTTTTTCATGAATACTCTTCCGGATAGAAATTTTCCATTTTGAATGATAAAACGCAAAAATCCTAATTGCTCAGACAATAATAATATTAGCATAGTATTAGTATTAGTACATATTAGTATTAGTAGTATTAGTAGTCGACTGTTAGTTGTTCAAAAAAAAAGTTTAGTCGATTCCAACTTTTAATTTAGAATTATTATCTTGTATGTATATTAATATATACTGTATAAGTAAAACGTTTAAAATCAAATCAAAAATAATAAAATTCAAATCTTTTTTAGCCCAGCGTCCAATTTGAATATCAACTTACAAAAAGCAACTGTTCTACAAAATCACCCTACAATGTGCAAAGAAAAAATAAATAAAAATTTAATGTAATAAAATTTTGTAAAGTGTAAAGAAATTAATCGTTTTCTATATAATCTATGTATCAACCAATGTTGGTTTCCAAAACTAGAGAGTTTCGTAACTGCGCGAAAGTCAAAAGATTTCGCCATAAGTCGAAACTAGTTTTGACCTTTGACTTTTGTTTTAGTTTTGACATATAAATTTTAATTTTAGTTTTGACTTTCGCTTCTCTAAAATAGTTTCGGCAAACAACACTAGTATCAACTGCCATCATTATATTGCCATGTGTCATGCATGAAAAGTAAACAATTTTCTGGTTTTAACAAGCATCGAATAGTAGTACTTTTCAATAACTTTTCTTCATCCTCTCCAATTCGTCTCTTGGATCTGGTGGAGGGTTTATAGATTACTTCTTGCAGTTTTATTGCATCAGTAGGAGGCATACCGATCAGACGTGTCTGAGTGCGATTCATATCATCAACAATTCATCAAAGAATTTTATTCCACGGCCTCGATCGCTCTCCCACTAGCAGTTTACTTTCTATTGAATTTTGTGCCAATTCTCATTTGAATGCCTTAATTATTGCTAGAATTTTGAAACAATCAATATCAATGATCCAGATAGATGGAGACACCACAACATCCCATTAATTGCGCAAAGTCAGTCACCTACGAATTCTTTTCCGCCATCCAACATTAATAATTTTGGCCAGGTAAGAGATCTTTGTAGGTTTGTTCTCTTGAACTGTTTTTAGAATATATGCAAGTACTACAAAATGACGTCTTCTTTGAAAATTTGTATAAAAATCTTGGTTTTGAAGTAAAAAGTAATGCCACTTTTGAATAACTCAGAGAGAGCCCTATCAATATGAGGAGGATTCATTAGAAAGTTATAATGACATAGTTTTATTTTAGATTAATAATGCTGTTTGAACTTACAAGAAACCGATTGATTACACAGATTGGGATTTCTATTTTACCTATAAATAATCAACTGATGTAACGAATTGTTAATATTAATATTAATGAAAAATAGAAGCCTAAATTTGGTTAGCGTACACCCCGAACTCGTAAATTATTATCATGTCATTTCGCAATAACTGTCATTGCCAATACTGCTTATCTGAATCACGAATTAATGACGATCTGTCTATGAATCGATGAAACGTCGACCTTCTTAAAAAACAGAGGAAATATTTTTATAGAATGATCTGCAAAATCACTACAACCTGTCACGTGATATCGGAAATATTTTTCTAATTTTTAAAACTCTTTCTCACATGAATTTCTCAAAAATCATGAAACAGAAACAGATAATATCCTTCTCTCAAACAAATTAAATCACAGACATCTAAATTTAATAAAGGTCACAACTGAAATTGCAATTAAAACAATGCTTTTCAATCTTAATTATAATTCTAACTAATGATTTGACTAAGAGTTTATTCATTTTTAATTATTTCATTTGTTCATTTGTTTTATTTGAATAAAAGTTCAATAATTGAATACTCGAATTAATTACAAATATAATTGGAATAATTTGAATAATTCTTATTCACGAACATGTTTATATATTAATATGAAAATTATACTCTCCAGAGTAAAAAAAAATTTCTAATATTCTTAAAAAAAAAAAAAAAACAAAGTGTACTCTTTGATATTTGTAAAATAAAAAATATTATTTATAGTACTAAAGTACCATTTTTTATACAAAGTCGTCAATTAATAAATTTTTCTATGATGATTTGTGACACATATTTAATAATTAATATGTTATTATTAATGCCGATCGCAAGGTTTTTTTAAGTCAAACGAATTTTTAATACTTTCTTAGAAAAGGTTTATAAGAAATAATAAAAAATTTCTGCTTGTTCACTTTGCACTTTGCACCTTCTCGCTTAACCTTTTTACCTATTGTAATATATTATTTTCAAATTTGTTTATACATTCTCCAATTGATTCTTTCCAAATTTGCTTAAAACCGAATTTTTTTTTCAAATAATAGTAAATATTTGTACGAGTACTTTAAAACAATTGATTGCTGCGTCCGACTTATCGGGTTTATATTAATATGTGTTGGTGTAGTTGTCGGATTTGTCGGGTGTAACATTATCATCCAATCAAATTTTAGATTCTGGAGATAGTTTCTAAATTTGTACTGGTTACACAACGAAATTTCAACACTGGCGTTATTTCCTATACTCAAAAGTTGAAATATCATAATTCACATGTTGGACCTTTAAAAAAGAAGTCAATTCATGTAAAAACAATTTGTCTCTAATTTTTTTTCATAGATTTTTTAAACTTGAGAGTTATGCACAAAAATGCAATGATAAATTCCCGTGTTACATTTTCTTTTTTATTGCTATTGTAAAAATACAAATAAAGCAATAATATATGTTCCAAAAGAATATTCTATGAAAAAAAAAAGTCACATGAAATTCACTTAGATAAGTGTATAACAAGATTTGATGTCAAACTTTTTTAGTTTAAGTCATGAAAAATTAAAATTTATCGGTCAACTTTTTTTTAATTGAAGCTGATCAATTGTTGCTATAAGCATTATAATAATAGTTGATCTGCGCCGTATTTACTATTACAATGATTTTTAACAGAATGGATTCTTTCAAAGATTACCTGTAAAATTGATTAAACCGACAAATTTGGATATGGTCATTGTCGGTTATTAATTCATTTTCTTCTATGATACGGACCAATTTTTTTAATTAATATAAAACGTTAATTCTCTACTACAGCTTTTCCAGACAATCAATACATGCCTGTAAACACCATGCATTTATACATCGACAAGATAACCTTTACAGTCAGAGCTCATTCATTACAGTGAGTGAGAAGTAGACAAAATCTCGCTGCAGCCGACTTTTTTTGTTTATCCCAATTCATTTTTGTGATTAATCGTCATTCGTTACAGTAGGAAAGTTTACATATGGTGTCGAGAGGTTTGCTCTCACAGTAATCTGATCAACAGGATTGTCACTTTTTTAATAAACTTAAAGCACAATCACACCTTAAGTCAATGATTGAGGTTTCCTGAAAATCAATAGTTCGAATTTCCGTAAGGGAAGTTTAGTAATTTCATTTTCGAATATGCTTCGTTAGCCTTTTGTAAAGTTGAAATAAATGATTTAACCAATTGGAAAATTTCACAACTTTGTTGGGAAAGATCAATGAATGATACGAAAAAGGTTAAATGCCAGCCAAATATCAAGTTTCTACTAAATAATCACGCAACCTAGATCCTCGAGTTGCTATTTTTGGTAGGTTAATACGTTTGCTTTAGTATCGGGTTCAAGACAAATAGTAATTAATGAATGGATAAAGAAAAAACATATTTATTGTTGTTGTTAATATTAAAAATTCAATGAACGGAACATCTATAATGGTTAGATTAATGGAAAAACAAATAATAATAGAAGAATTCTTCTGTATTATATAATAATAATAAACAATTGATAGATAAAATAATGAAAGATGCACAACAAGTTTTTTTTGTATTTAGTTCTAAAGTTTCCAGATATAACAAGGATTGCGTATGTAATTGGATATTTTTATTATTAAGATGAAAATTTATCACTGTTTACCTTACCTACCAATTATTATTATAATTAAAGTACACAACATTTAAATAATTTTCTTCGTTTATCTAGTTTGTACACAAAATAAAAGTAGATGAATTAGATGAATTAATTATAATATAATCTGTCCATACAGTTTGTCACGATGGACTATAACTAAATTCTTGCCATAACAGATTTTTAAAACTTTTGCTTCACTATTAATATAAAAAAAACATATAAAAATTTAGTAAATGGTAATAGCAATCTTTCCACAAAAAAAATTTCCTTATTATTATTATTATTATTATTATTATTATTATTATTATGTGTTCTTCATCCGCTGTGACAAGTTTTGACTGTATATGTAAAATAAGGCTTTATAATAAAAATGTTACACATTGTTTAAAATGGAAAAATTATATAAATATGATTGATTAATTGATCATAATCCAAAAATTCTTTTGGAATTTTTCTTATAATACATTGTTAAATTTTTAGATAAAATTTTATCACGTTTTATTTGTTCTTTTATTGTAAAGGTATGTTTTTTTTAAAATATATTAAGAAAATATGTCGTTGTATTGTGCATATGAATTGTTAATTAAATATATATTTGAAAATATTGTGTGATGATGATGATAGATAAATATGTGTGAGAAAGAACGAAAGAATTTAAATTTAAAGATTATCGTGTAACATATATTGTAATCGCGTCATCAATAACTAAAATATCAATCAATTCATTCCTAATAACCAGTTTTTTAATATCAAAAAATGCCATCTCACGAAGAAGGCGAAAGAGAACCACTTATCGATGATCAAACCCGTAAAGCTTATGGTCCATTTGGCTTTGCACCAGAACAACTTGGGAAGCTTGTAGATCCCAAAAATACTGACTTATTAGAAGAGTACGGTGGTGTCGAAAAAATTCTTGAAGGCTTGAAGGTTGATCCAACCGTTGGTTTAAGTTCTGATGAAGGGTTGGAATCTGTCAGTACAAAAAAGAATGCACGTCCTTTCAAAGAAAGACGAGAGCATTTCGGAAAAAATGTAAATAAATAATATATTTTTTTGAGAGTAAATAAATTGTTTTGTATGTATTTTAATAAGATCTTTAAAAAAAAACTTTTTATTTAAATAATAATCATTGTTAGGTTTTACCTGAAACAACTCAACGTTCCTTTTTTTCATTAGTTTGGGAAGCATATCAAGATAGAACATTAAGTAAGCTTCTTCCAATGTTATTTATAAATATATAAATATATATATAATTATTATTAATCAATGTTCTTTTCTTCCAAAAAATAAAAGTTTTGTTGAGTATTGCTGCATTGGTATCCCTTGCAGTTGGTATTGGCGAAGATTTTTCTTCTAGACATCCTGAAGGTGAACCACGTGTTGGTTGGGTTGAAGGTACACATTATCATTACTGTTAATATTTTAGAAAATATAAAATGATAATTAATAATAATAATAATTGTTGTTGTTTCCTATTATAATTAATTAGGTGCTGCTATTCTTGCAGCTGTTGCAGCTGTTGTTTTCACTAACGCTATTAATGATTATCAAAAAGAAAAACAATTCAGAAAATTAAATTCTAAAAAAGAAGATCGTACCGTCAAGGTATCAATTATAATACTATTTGTGATTGTAATAATAATCACAATGATTATGATCACTAATTAATTATTATCATCATTAAGTTACTTCGTGATGGGAAAGAACAACAAATCTCAGTTTATGAAATTAATGTTGGTGATATTTTGGTAAGTCATGTCACTATCCATCCCCTTCTCACGACCTTTATTCCTCATAAAAAAAAAAAAAATTCTTTGGTTTATTAGTTTATTAATAGTTTATTTATTTCACCCAAATAAAAGCTTCTTGAACCAGGAGATATTGTAGCAGTTGATGGAGTCTTTTTGAGTGGTCATAATCTTAAATGTGATGAATCAAGTGCCACTGGTGAATCTGACGCAGTTAGAAAAGGCACAGTTGAAGATGGACTGGATCCTTTTATTATAAGTGGTGGAAAGGTTCTTGAAGGTGTTGGTAAAGCTGTTGTTATTGCAGTTGGTAATTATAATAAATAAAGTTAATCAAGAATCACTAAACTTTTATTTAATAATAATAATAATAATAATATCATTAACACTATATTACTAATATTTAGGTACAAATTCATTTTTTGGAAAGACTATGATGGTAAATATATCAAACAAATATTTAAATATCCTCTCAGTAAATACCCAAATAAATACATAAATAAATATGAATTTATTTGTATTTTAGGGGCTTCGTGGCGAGGGTGACGAGGAAACTCCACTTCAACAAAAATTAGACCTGCTTGCAGAACAGATTGCAAAATTAGGTGTCTCGGTTGCTTTAATCATGTTAATGTAAGATTTTTGAATTTACTTGCATATCTTTTATTTATAAATATTGGCGTTAACAGTATTTTAATTCTTAATATTTTATTTTTTTTTATTTTTTTTTTTGTTAGTACACTTGTAATCAAATATTTTATTTCTGCTTCACTCTCTGATGAATTTCCCGATGCTGAAACCATTTTTGCCAATATGGTATCAATTGTTATACAAGCAATCACTATTGTTGTAGTTGCTGTACCTGAAGGTGTAAGTGCTTATTAATTAGTTGATAGATTAATTAATTATTATTTATTTTCAACTCACTCGCTCGTTTTTAATATACATGTATGTATATGTACATAAATGTACGATAGCTACCAATGGCTGTTACACTCGCACTTGCATATGCAACAACTCAAATGATCAAAGATAATAACTTGGTTCGTGTATTATCTGCTTGTGAAACGATGGGTAATGCAACTGCTGTGTGCTCAGATAAAACTGGTACATTGACACAAAACAAAATGACTGTGGTGGAAGGTGTTCTTGCCCAAAAATCATTCGAAAGCGTTGATGATATTAATGCATGGAAAGAAGGAGTTGATTCAGCTGTTTATGAAATTATTGTTGAAAGTATTACTATCAACTCATCGGCATTTGAAGATAAAGATGAAAAAGGAAATCTTGATTTTGTTGGGTACGAGAAACAATTAATTAATAAAATAATAAATTTATTTTTTATACTTGTTTTTTTTTTTTTTTTTACAAATATAATACATATATCATCCATTCACCACCATTCATTGTTTATTAATAGATCTAAAACCGAATGTGCATTACTTGGATTTTCTAAAAGATTCGGTGTTGATTATAATACGTATAGACATGAAAATAAACAAGTCAAAGTTTATCCATTTGCATCTCAAAGAAAGACCATGACTTCCATAATCAAGTTAGGCTCATCATCGGTTAGTTTACGCGGCAAAGCAACTGCTTCCAATGCTGAATATCGTGTATTGGTCAAAGGTGCATCAGAAATGGTATTGAGTGCTTGTACTCATTTTGTGGATGCTCAAGGACAAACTCAAGAATTCGATAAAGATTCAAAATTGAAATTCGAACAAACAATCAGCAATTTTGCAAATAAAGCTTTACGTACCATTGGAATGGCATATCGTGACATTACTTCTAACGATTTCCAAAAGATTACTGACGAGGAACCACCACTTGAGAAATTGATTTGTTTGGGTATAGTTGGTATTCAAGATCCTCTTCGTCCTGGTGTGGTTGAATCAGTTCACGCATTTAAAAAAGCTGGTGTATCGGTTAGAATGATCACTGGTGATAATATCTTGACAGCTAGTGCTATTGCACGTAATGCTGGTATTCTTACCAAGGGTATTGCAATGACTGGACCAGAGTTTAGAATTTTGGATAAGGAGAAACAGTTAGAAAAGGTGGCCCGTCTTCAAGTACTTGCCAGATCGTCACCAACAGACAAAACCATAGTTGTTTCACGATTAAAGGAATTGGGCGAAGTGATTGCAGTGACTGGTGATGGTACTAATGATGGACCAGCGTTGAAATTGGCAGATGTTGGATTTAGTATGGGAATAGCAGGAACAGAAGTAGCTAAAGAAGCATCAGCAATTATTTTGATGGATGACAACTTCAATTCAATTGTCAAAGCATTGAAATGGGGTAGAGCCGTTAATGATAGTGTCAGAAAATTCTTACAATTTCAACTTACAGTCAACATTGCCGCCGTTGTATTATCATTTACCAGTGCAGTTACTAGTGATGATAATGAATCGATTTTGACAGCAGTACAATTGCTCTGGGTCAATCTTATTATGGACACGTTGGCAGCACTTGCATTAGCAACAGAACCACCAACCGATGAACTTCTTAATCGACGACCAACATCCAAGACTGCGTCATTGATCAGTTATAGAATGTGGAAGATGATTATTGGACAAGCAATTTTCCAAATTATAATCAATTTGTTTGTTATTAACATGGGAGCTGCAATTTTCCATCTTGATGAAGACGATAAACATGACAAGGTTGTCTTGCGTTCCATAGTATTTAATACTTTTGTATTTTTACAAGTCTTCAATGAGATAAATTGTCGAAGTATTGACGATAATTTGAATGTATTCAGAAACATTTTCCATAATCACATATTTATTATTGTGCAAATAGTGGTTCTAGGAGGACAATTTTTGATTGTGGAGTATGGAGGAGTGGCATTTGGAACTACAAAATTAACATGGTATCAATGGCTTGTCACTGTATTGATTGGATCCCTTTCATTGCCTATAGGACTTGTCATAAGATTGTTACCCAACTTCTGTGTGCCAGAAAGTATTTTGAATGAAGACTTCAAACCAAGTGTTAGTGAGGCTAAAATGCAATGGGAATCGGGAGTTGAGAAACTGAGAGTTTTCTCTAAATTGAGAAAGCCAATAATACGTGGTTCATCTGGCGCACTCATCGACTCTAAATCAAAATCAAAGCCTAGGTCAGGTGGTGAATCTAAACCAAAAGCAAATTTTGCTAATATTGTAAGTAAAGCAAAAAATCAACAAAGAAGAGGTGGTGGTGAATCTAGTACATCTTAAATTATCTATTCATTTGTATTATTATTATTATTATTATATATATATATATATATATTGTTTAAAAATGAATTTGTACTTATATTACGATTTTATTATAAAAATAAAAAGATACATATATATTTTTTCATAAATTAAAAAAAATCTTAAATTAAATCTTATAAATTAAACGAATAATAAGTCACATAACAATAAACCATAAAGTTCGTTCCCTTTGATTCTCTTCCTCACGATTTTCTGTCTCGGTAATATTAACAAATATGTAGTACAACAAGTTAATATTAATTAAATTAACGTTTATCACGTATTTCTTTTGCGATTTCTATATACGTCTTCCTTATTAGTGGAACTCGAAATAATCGACCCAACAATAATTTGTTTTCGATTTTCGACATATTTGCTCCTAGTTCATTTTTTGCATATAATTTTAACAAGTAAAACCCGTTTACTTTGTCGTCCCTAGAAAATTTTCTGCCATGAGGAAGGCTTTTCGCCAATTCGTTTAAGTTTAGTTCGCTACGATTCGGAAAACATATACGATTAATTAAAACGGAATCTAATACCAACGCCATTATTTAGATTTAAGTAATAGTAAAGAGAAAAAAAAGAAAAGAGAAGAGAGATTGATAAAAATTATAAAATTATAATTTAAGGGAGTAAAAGCATTCTGTAGAAACCTTTGGATTTATAGGAAATAAATCGTTAATGTGACTGGAATACATTTTCCTCTTTTCATACATAAAGATGATTTCTATTGATTTATTTGAAAAAAGAATAATAAATATATTAAATATATTAACAAGTAATGATCATTCATTTTCACTAAAAAAGAATTTACAACTAAATTTAAATCTCCTAAATTATTTCATGGTTTCATATCTATTTTGGTTTCCTATTCATTTTAATATAATAAATAGTATGATCGCGTATATAATTTGCGGATTTTTCATTATCACCAACCGGAAGTTAAAGCAAACTCCGAATAGACTAATTAGTCATTCTGTAATTATGAGCGTTAATTACTACAACAATAATAAAAAATGCCTATTATTTTTTGAAATGTTTTAATTTGGGCAAATGAAGAATCAGATAACAGTTGGTAAATTAATTAATTTGGAATTTACAATGTAACTTGTAAAAAAAAAATAGATATATTTGATAAATATGGTTGTGGCTTACTTTGACCAAAAGTGATGATATCTATCTAAATCGTCATTTTTAAGCTAAAAATAGATTGTTGGTCATGTTACCATGCATGAATGCATGTATGTATTTTTGAGAATTGTAAAAAGAAATTTTTATTAATATATCACTTACGATAGAAATTTTCATGGTAAAATTAAAATAAATCGAATAACTTTAAACCATGATGTTTTTATTTTTTATAGTTTTATTACTTTAGTCTTCTATATATAACAGGTCCGAGAAAACTCTATTGAATGTCACCGACAACACTATGATTCTCGAAGGTCACTTTTAAAAAAGGAAAGGTGATCGCGACACTATAATTAGGGTCAATAGAGAATTTAAAAAAAACAAGCCATGGGGTTACTATAATGCGGATTCCGCACTATATCCAGTGATAAATGAGTAAATTTCATCGTGTAACTAGTATAAATTTAGAAAATATCTTCAAAAATTGAAATATTATGTGATTCATATGTTGGGATTTTTTAAAAAAACCACCATCATTCAATTCAAAAAGGAGTAAATTGTGATTGTGTAAAAAAAAATTTGTCTCAATTTAAATATTGGGTGTCCCACATCATATGATTTATATAAATTTCATTAATAAGAATTTTTTAGGGAGGTTTGCGATTATTTTTTTGATGGCACAAAAAAATTTTTTACAAATTGGCAAACTTCGCAAAATTACAAAACTCAAAATAACTCTTAAACTATATGATATATTCAAATAAAAATTTATGTTTTAGATTGCTCTTTACTTGCATAAAATTTTGTAAAATATATCCACAATTTTTACTTTGATTTTCTAGCTTAAAATAAATGCCATGGTTTATATTAAAATAAAAAAAGAGCTCTATTAATTTATTGTCCTATTTCTCTAGTATGTTTTAAGGTTAATTCGGAGTCAGTATCTCGACAAAAAATTGTCATATATGAAAATTTATATATGTGATATGTGATTGACTATCATAAAATGTAGGACACCCCCAATGTAATATGTTCGTTGTAAAAAATGGGTACGTATTACTTCACCGACAACACTTGGCGCACCATTTTTAGCATTTTATTAGTTGTTTGATTATGAATATTCTAAAAAATTTGTTACTTAAACGTACAAATTTGGAATTTTCAAAATTCTAAGGCTCTGCCAATGAACAATAAAATTTATAGGTTAACTTTTTTAAAATAATATAAAACTTTTTTGTTTTAGTATTTTGAAGCTGACCAATTGTTACTATAATCAATTAACTGATTATAGATGATCTGCACCGTAACTAGCCCATTTTTGTTAATTATTGTAAATTATTTCCTAAACAGAAATCAACTCTCGAGATTCGCGTTAATATGATCAGGCTCTTCATTTGGCAGGTGACATTCAATAGAGTTTTCTCGGTCCTTCTATAATAAATCTATAAATAGTATTTTGCCCTGTCTCATTTGGTTATAAACTTTACCTATTAACAACTCTTTACTATGTATAAAAAAATTTTTTTTATTTGGTAAGAAAAACTCTAAAATTTTGATCTATTTACTATAATTCCCCTTAGTTTCATGTCTGTATCTCTTTAATTGAAGGTTCTGATACAGTTTTATTATATATATATATACATATATATTATTATAAACGATCAACTAACAAAGATTTCGTTTATTACAAATAGTTACAGAAAAAATTAAAAATGATTGTAATCTCAAGAACCTTATCATTATCTATAACTTAACGTATGATGGATAATATAACATGATTCATATGATTAAAATAAATAAAAAATTATGATTTTAAGTGTCAATATTTTTGGAAAAAATAGAAACAATAGCTTATTATTATAATTAAAAAAAATTAAATGTAAAATAAAACTTGTGATTTATAAAGTTAAAATTTATGGCTTGTATAATGAATGATTCAAATAAAAAATATCCACCTTTGTCTATAATCAAAAAAAAAGCAAGCACCGAAGCTATAAAAGGTTTGGAAACTGCACTCAAATATGTACAACAAAAAAATTTGGAAAGTAATTAGAAACATCAATAAATTAAAGGAAACTTCTTACAAAAATTCTCAAGAAAGAGTGCAAACAAGGATTGAAGAATACTATATGCTAGAATAAAATAAATTTAAATTTTTTTTTTGTTGTTTATATATATTATTTACATATTTTATATATTGTAAATAAGATTTTTATATAACTGATGTCACATGATTTTTATTATAAAATCCACTAATTCCAAATTTCTCGTTTTTACGGATATTTCGATTTAGCGGATTAGGATAAATTTCTTGGCCAAACTTATCCGCTAAATTGAGATTCATTGTGTATATCCGGTTACACATATAATAATAATATTCGTTTTTATTCGAATTACTCGTTTTATTCATTTTAATTTTATTCAATTATTTGCTATTACAATTTTATTCATTTTATTCGAATTACTCGTTTTATTCACTTTATCGTTTAATTCGCTTATTAGAATTGCTCCTTTTATTCAGTTTATCAAATTATTCGTTTATCAAATTGTTCGTTTTTATTCGAATAAAAATTATTATTGTTTAAACATCATTGCTGATCTGGTATTTCTTCATCGTGAAATATTCGTCAAGTAGATTTGCGTAGATATGAATGAGTCTCTAAGAAAAAAGTTGCAATTGGTTGATCCCGGAGTTTTTTTCCCTGTAATTTTATTGATGAAATGAAATGTGTCTCGATCAATTCATGGGATCATCATATGAATATATATTCTTGTACTTGGGAAAGCGGTGGTTTTTCTCGTTTGATAGCCTTTGTAATTAATAAACTACTCATAGATAAAAAATATTTTCTACCGCTCATTCATTCTCCCAAGTCTACTGTACATACATTTCTTACATGGAAATGTTTTAAAAAATTATAACTTTGTTCATATACAACTTTCGTGTAAGGGTAGATATCTCCCTAATAAATAAATTTCATTATAAGGAATGTCCGCAAAATATTATTTATTAATAGTAAAATATTTATTAATAACAACAATAATAAAAATATTTATTTTTGTCGAGGACAAAATAATGTTCCCAATGACATCAGTTTGTCTGTAATGTATTTCTATTTGAATTTGGACTATATAAATTTATCTATATCATAAGCCAATCAAACAAATGTAATGCTTCGGCTTTAGTTTTAATCAATTTCTCTTGTTTAAAAATTTTATCACTAAATATTCAAGAGTTCATGTCACATGATCACATTTCAAATAAAGTTTTTCAATGTTGTCGCCATAACTATCAAGATTTAGATTAGTAAGCTTAACACAATTAACAAAATCCAAAAATTCAAGTGGATAATTATTAATACTCAAATAAGCCATTGATATATTACCTTTGAGGGTCACTAATTCTTTGATAACATTTTCTGCTGCATCTAATTCTCTTAAATATTTGCAACTGTTAAATACAATCATTTTAAACACCAATTATTGTATTGGATATAATTCTAAAGGTTTTCCAAGTCAAAACAGTTTAATTCCTTCAAGAAATTTTGACAACTCTAACTTAACTATAGATGATTTACTTTTAGTTATTGCTATATAACATTGAAGAGATTGCAAATCTGAGCAATTAGTTAACAATTTAATTCTTCTAGCTCTTTATTTTGATCAAAATCTAAAAATATTTCAAGTTGATTGCAACTAAATCTAATTTTTTTAATTTGGAGCAATTACTGACATTCAATTTAGTAAGTTAATAAAATCACTCAAGTCAAATTCACCCCACGAATCCTCATTAACTAATATCTAACTCTTTAATACTAGCTCTTCCGGCTGACATCTAATCACTCTTGAGATGAAACATTAAGTGGTTTCCTTTCAATACTTTCTGGTAAATCTAAACTATCCAATTTGGTCTTTTCGGAAGGAGAGAAGGAATTAGTTCAGAGACTGCTTTTTACTTGACTAATATCTAATTCGATCAGTTTATTATTATAACAATAGTCATTTGACTTTGGAACAATTCTCTATTTTTAAATCTTTAATTTATCATGAGAAGTAATAATCAGTCCTAATTCCTAACTATGATTTAAGTTTGGATAGTCTTCAATTACTAGTTAATTTATTTTTGATGGCTGCTAGACTATTAAAATCTTTTTGTTCTTGTTCAGCTTTCAGTTCCAGTCATTTTTGTAGTCAAGCTGGGTTTTCATATTAGTTGTTTGTCATGAAAGAGAGAGTTACATCAATTCTCTTGTGAAAGTCATTTTATTGGGACCTGTTATCATCAATCATTTCCTTTTATATCATGAGGAGTAATCATTCTATTTCATTCTATTGGATGAAATCATGTAAAAAGTCATGTTACCTGTAGTACCCCGAGAAGTATTTATACCCTTGGAAATTGCTCAAGAATTAATCGTCATATTAATTAACTAGTTCACCGTTAACGCTTGGATAATAAAAATACTTTTACATAAAATGATGTGGTTGATTCCTAATCCTTTCTATAATTTATTGGTTTGGCCAACCTTTAATTATTAGTTAGAAACCCTTTTGATTGTACTGCGTTGTTGCTTTGTAGGGATACTTAAAGTAACATAGTTGTATATAGTTTAGTTTGATTATTTGGACTATATTTCAGATATAAAAGACCCCTTTTGGCTATAATCTAGGCTGTGTACCAGATTTAGTAAGTAACTTGAATAACATGCTTGTAATATTATTTTAATACTTAATCGCTTTCGAAAGTTATCAAGATTTCATAGGAGAGCTTCTTGTGAGAGTGTATATTTTGTTTTAAATTTTAAATGAACTCTTTTTGGATCGTAAAATTTTTTGATCTCCAGCTGATGCTTCTTTCAAGTGAGTCAACAACAACTTTGAAGGGGTCATTGGCCATGACCTTGCTAACGTAAATTAAATACAAAAATTGGAGCATGATTTTGATGTACTAGTGATTTTGTGAATTGGACATCATCTCCTTTTCCTACATAATTGCTGACTTGACCAATGTAGTTATGTTTTGGCCAAATTATTGGGAAAGGTAGATCTGTCTGCAAAGTCAAGATTATTTTTAATAGGCTGAGACGATTCTTGATTTCCAGACAGTGAGACTGTTGAGATGACTTGATAGTAGAGTGTTTGATCAAAAATTGGGATAGGAAGATTGTGTTCAAGAGATGATCAAGTAGATCATTTATCAACTTTGAAGCATCATATGAATAAATTTAAGAAAGAACAGTTGATGTGAGCTGCGAGTTACCAAACGGTCCATGTTTATTTGTTTGTTGTATTTCAACAACAGAGTTACAGTAATTTTTATTTATTCGTTTATTGGCTTTGATTCAAATTTATATAGGGAAAATCAATTTGAAAATGGCAAAAAAAGGTTTGTTTTTAATAAAACATAGATCTTATATGATGATTTTTATTTATTTTCGTGAAACATATAAATTAGGATTTTTGTGATATTATCTTATTGATATAAACTTTGTGTTTTCATAAATCTTATATATAATCTTATAAACTTGTAAATCTTAATACAAATCATAAATTTAAAAAAAAGCTTAAGTCCCTCCCCTCCTATTTTGTCTGTACTAAGTGTTAATTTAATAAAATAGATAAACAATAAACATTAATTATTAAGCATTAATGTAACAAGAAAATTATTAATTAAGTATTAAAGATATTAATGTAATAAATAAATAAATATTAATTAGGTATTAAGTATATAATTAATATTAATTAATCAAGTATTTAATATAGGTGCATTATTGATATTAATATTGTATTAATTTTATCGAAAGATTATTTTTCAAGGAAATTCCTACTTCAAAATCCAGGTATTATTAATTTTACTTATATGTAAGATTCTCTGTTACTTACTATGCCTTTATATATAATCTCTTCCCAATTCTTTTTTTAATATCAAGTATTAGATATTAGGTATTAGGTATTAGGTATTAGATATTAGGTATTAGGTATTAGGTGTTGGTGCAAGTAAACAAATAATATATTTCTATTGCGTGATTTCTATAATATCAATAATGTTGTTAATGTTGTTTTATGATTGATCTTTGATATTATTGATAATTATTGACATTTTTGATGGTGTCAATTAATATTATTATAGATTTTTTTTTGTGATTAATTTAATCAACAGGTAAAACGCCTGATGCAGGAAATTTATTTTCGGTATTTTGATTCATCTCATTCTAACAACTCGCAGATTTTTTCTGCAATCTCTTTATAGATACTTGTTATTCCTGGCTCATTATACAAGTCTCTTAACAGCTGTCTATCTTCAATAGGCCATTCCTTGGATTTGATTTTGAGTTCTATGATGAAATAACGCTTTAATACATGATAGGCCTTAATTCTCGCTGGGTCAACTGCTCTCTTATCTCGAGCAATTTGTTTTGCTATTTTCTTTATTGTTTCGGGGGTACGATCCGGATTGCGTAAACGATTGATCGAGAGTTCACGTTCTGATGACATATCTTAAGTTCGATGTAAACTCTATTTTTAATAGTAATAGCAATAATAGAAATAGTAATAATAGATTATTATTAAAAGAAAATTAATTTTACTAAAATAAAAAAAACCGGATAAATAAAAAATATGAGGTTTTTGTAATAATAACAAGGAAAAATAGAATTTTTTTATTAAAGTAAAAACGATTCGAATGATTTTTAGTTCTTTTTCTCCGTGCACAATGGTCATTTATATTTGAAAAGTAAAATGATAAATGATTGCGGTAAGCTGAATTGAATATATATGTCTGCTAAAAACAGAAATTTGAATACTAGAGGCATTGAATTATTGGTTTTCCTAAATTCATTTCCGACAATTTCTTTTTATTATTATAGATCATCCAAATCCCCAATGTAATATAATATAATAGTAAACAAGATAGCCTGTCTAATTGGTTGATATCAGCCACCTGTTACATTGCAAGGTTCTTATTAGTGGTGGTGGTAGTTTTATTAAGCTTCAGGGTAGATATTCGAATGATATTCGAATAGATCAAGTATGAAAAAAATGCATATTGTTAAAGAATTTATTTATGAATAAATTAGGAAATTTATATCGATACTTTAATTAGAATAATTAATTGTATTTGAAAGACTCTTTTTTACACTATATCTATAAATAATATTATTTATCAAAGTGTAACAGAAATTTAGATTAAAAATTTCCTCTTTTAAATCTTTTAAGGTTTTGTTTTTCAAAAAACCCTTATTTTCCAAAACCAAGTATTCTAACGATATACGTCAAAACCCTTATTTACAGGCATATAATTCTTATCAAATAATACAATTTTAAAATGATTTTTTTTTCGAATTAAACTGCATTAAAAAGTCTATTTTTATTATATAAATTTATTTGACCATTGGTCAGGGACTTTGATTTCCAGGATTTCCATTTTGTTTGATACACACAAAATAAGTTGGTACACGAAAATTGGTCGTGCTGAAGCATGGCAAAATAAATCTGCTGACCAACATTCCAATCGGCCAACTCGGCTATCATTACAAGATTGAGGTTACCTAACCATTATCATCATCTCCTTCCTATCAATCAACTAACCGAATATGCAAATTGTTAAATAATCACCAAATTTGTATATATGGCACAGTCAAATTATCACTGTCCAAGAAAAAATGTTCGACCATAATCGTTTTTTGTTATATCAATCGACAATTCTTCTAGAATAAGACATATTTATATTGTGAAGAAAAACATGAAATAATTCCCCATATAATTAGTTATTTCATATGATAATAATAGGCGTGGCCACGAAGTGGACGAGGTTGTCTCATTTTGACGGCCTTGAATGCTTACTTTATTAATGTAATTCTTAGATGTGTTTGTGATTTAATATTTGAGCGTTTACGTTTTATCAAATTTTATAAAAATAAAAAAATCTTTCGTTAAAGATCGGCAATGTGTTACCACCACTTAAGAAATATTTTGTTTTTTTCAATATTCAACTTTCAATTGCATAAAAAAATTTACAACAGTAAAACACACCAATCAATCACTATATACTCTCTCTATAACTAATAATGTATTTTATTATCTGTCATGTGTTTTATATTAATATTAATATTACCCAATTGACACATTCTTCTAGAAACATTAATTACTATTACTATTATAATTACTATTACCTTAAGATGATGATGCATATGTTACAGTAATAAGAATTCCTTAAAACGGAATTCTAAACCATCGCCAAGCAAAAAAAAAATTTTATTGTGCCACCTTGATAAAAAAAAATATTATTATTCGTCAATAACTGGCGGGGGAAAAGTACTGATGGCGCGCTTGGTATGGTTTCTGATGTAACTAAGAAATTAAATAAAGGTGAAAAGCATCTAAAGATTACCTGTGATAATGCTGACGGGAAAAACAAAAAATATTGAACTATAATTCATGATTACAAACTCAAATGTGATGGTAGCTCTTGAGCGGGTTGTGCTATAGAATTGCAAAAATATTTATGACGTTTCTGGATTGAATAAATCTCGACGACGTTATGATGTCGTAAAAGGCTTTTGATATTTTAACAGCAAATTTGGTTTAGAAGCAACAATTTCAATAATTTCAATATTATTTTTGAAGCTTCTCTAATTCTGCATGATCTTGTAAAAATCCAGGAGATTGTTAATGGTTCGTTTGTGACTTTAAGTTATTGAAGACTAGCACAAAAAGAAATCATAACATTGTAAAAGATAATCATTTCCAATATTGTCACCTTACTTTTATAGATCTCAAGTGTCAAGAATATCTTTTGCAACATTGAACATCACATAAATTTGTTGGCGGTTGCTACAGTGCAAGTGAACTTTCTGCAACTAAGAAATTGCAACCGGTTGCAGAATTTGAAAATAGAAGCTATACTATGAGTATCTGCAACTAGTTGCAACGAATATCAGATTTTCAAATCAGTTGCAGACGCCAACTTTAACTACGCGGTCAAAACAATATTTTAGTGTCACATATGAAATCACATGACAAACCAAACAACAACGAATTCTTTATTTATTTTTGAACTTGAAACATGATTACCGAGAAGAGAATGATAATGGTGATAGGTGGATGATCTTGAAATTAAAAAAGCTATAGCTTCCAAAGGTGTTAAAGCTTGGAATTCTAGTTTTGATGTAATTAAAATCATAGCTATCGTAAGAGTTTAAGATAATAATTTTTAATTTATTTATTTTTGTGGAAAACAATATTACAATACTATGTTACACATCAAAATAATAATAGTAATAGTATATAAATTATAGTTATAATATATTCATTTGGGAAGAAAAAAAAATATTCTACTTTATTAGCTACTTGATCTAAACAATTAAATACTACTTTTGTACCTTCTAAAAATGTAGTTTTATAGAATATTTTTCACAAAGGTTTTGAATTATTGGTCAAACTTTATGAAAATGATGACGCGGCATTGTGGGGAAAAGCTACATGGATAAAATAAAAGAATTGATTATTTTTTTAATTGATTGAATGAATGAATGAATGATTATTTTACTGGTATACTCACATGATGTTCAATTTGATAATTTAAACCACCACAAAACCAATCTACACACCATTGAAATTTAGGATTTCTAGCAATAATATCTCTTCCGGTGATAATTTGCTCAACAAAAAAATCCATATCCTGAGCTTTTTCTTCGCTAAGTACTTTCATTCCAAAATGATTTAAAACAAACACCAGACCCAATAATAGTCCACATGTTGTTTGAGAAGTAATAAAAAATGAAAATTTTAACCAAAAATCGTCAATTGAACCTAGAAACAATGAACACCAAATGTAATGTATGACAAGTGAAATTTGTTGGCTTTTGCTAATTGGCATACGAGCTTTTGTTGTCTTGTTGACTTGACCGTCAGGGAGTACAAAAAAGATGCTCCGAAGAAACCAAAAGATTCTTGCAAACGTCAATATTGGAAAATAAAATAATGTTTGATATTTGACCATTCTACGAACAATGCTTGGTGAAAATATTTGTTCATTTTCTTTTGCCATTTTTGGTCAAGCATATCAAAAAGTGCATATTCGGACCATGTAAGAATGGGATGCGTATTGATATCAGGGTCTTGACTAAGAACATTTGGTGCTGCATGATGAGTGTTGTGTTTATTCTTCCACCTAACAAAATAAATAAATAAATAAATAATGTTTAAAAGGGGGATTTTTTTTTACCAGCTAGGAGAAAATCCTTGACAAACACCACCAAGAAAATCACTCATCAAATCATTATATTTTCTATCCTCAAATACTTGATGATGTAAAAAATCATGCGAAAGCCATCCACACTGTTGCCAGAAAATACCCAATATTACGGCACTTATTACAACACCCAATAATTTATCACCGAATTTAATCAATATCAATAATGATGTAAATGAAATTAAAAGGTTCGAAAGAACCTTTAAAGCATAATAAGTCTTTGATGAATCAAAATATTTCTTATTTGTAAATATTTCCTTGATCTCTCTTAGTTCTTGTGTAAATCCTATATATTAATTATTAGTTATTACAATCATTAGTATTATCAATCACCTATTATTTATTATTACATATATATATATATATATAAAAATCAATCTTTCTCTTTTTCTCCTCTACCTTCTCTTTTAGTAATGATATCTTCCTCTACCAAATTGCCAATATAAAAATTTGCCAATACTTCGTGTGAGCTTTTTTGATGAAAATTATGAAATGCATCTTAAAAGAGTAAATTTTTTTAATATACATCAAGTCACGTGCATATCACATGATTTGTTACCAGTTATCCTTCCCAACGTGAGTCAAAATCACAGCGCCTCCAGGATGACCAGGAATAAAATCTTTAACATCACACACTTTATTATATATTAACAAATACCAAGGATTCTCTTGTTCATTATTAATCTTTTCTACATTTTTATGTATGTTGTAATGTTTCATAACATCTTCTCGACGAAAGGTTTTAACTAAAAAAACACTTTTTCATTTATTTACGATTTATTGGTGCTGTTTTTTTATAATATATATATATATATAAATGATATATTATATATTATGTTAATAATTAGCAAAACGAAATCTTCATCGACATTTTCAACTGTATCGTTGGGTGACATTACGAAATTCTTTGATTCATAAATCTTACAAATTATATATCGGTTTACTTTTTATTTTATAGAGCAAATAACAGATGAAAAAGAATAGATAGGTAAAGAAAAAATAAGAATAAATAAAGAAAAAGGTCCATAATTTTTTTTTAACACGATAAATACTTTTTCAAATTAATTGACGATCCGACTGGGTGAACCTAAATAGTAATAATAGAGATCAGCGGAGGAAAAATGTCACTTGACGACTTTGTATAAAAAAATGGTATTATGTTTTTTACGTTATGGAACAAATGTCAAAGTGAGATTCTTCGTGTATAAAAAAAAAGTTTGTGTGATTAAAATAACAACAAAAACGAGTAATATAATTATTTTTTAATCGGAGTTTCTATTCGAACAATAACATGAATTATTCAAATCATTCCAAATATTCATTATTAATTTTAGTATTCAATTACATTTCAAAACTGAAACTGTTTTAAACTTCAAAACTATTTTAAAATCCAAAACTAAAAAAAAAGGCAAAATGTGAATTCATAGACGGATCGTTCAATTAAATGTTTTTTAACATATGGGCGGATTTGACTCACATTCAATTTTGTCACACTTCAGAAATGTGACAATTCAATGATTTTATTATTGTCACTATAAACGCAAAAAGTAAGATTATAAAAACATACTATTATTTTTATTCCTTATATCA